GCTATTGTTTGATAATTTCTACATTCTGTGGGATCACCTTTCTTTAGAATGGGTACAAATATGGATCTCGTCCAGTCAGCTGGCCAGGTAGCTGTCTTCCAAATCTCTTGGCATAGCCAAGTGAGTGCCTCCAGCACAGCACCACTTGTTGAAACATCTCAGTGGGTATGCTGTCAATTCCTGGAGCCTTGTTTTTTTGCCAATTCCTTCAGTGCAGCTTCAACTTCTTCCTTCAATACCATTAGTTCTTGATCATATGCCACCTCCTGAAATGGATGATCATCTATCAATTCTTTTTGATATAGTGACTCTGTGTATTCCATTCATCTTCTTTTGATGTTTCCTGCATCATTCAACATACTGCCCATGGAATCTTTCAATATTGCAATTCGAGGCTTAAATTTTTTCCTCAGTTCTTTCAGCTTGAGAAATTCCAAGCATGTTCTTCCCTTTTGGTTTTGTAACTGCAGGTCTTTGCATATTTCATTATAATAATTGACTTTGTCTTATTGAGCTGCTCCTTGAAATCTTCTGTTCAGCTCTTTTATCCTGTCAATTCTTCCATCTGCTTTAGCTACTCTTCATTCAAGGGCACATTTCATATCTCTTCTGACATCCATTTTGGTCTCTTCTTCCTCTCCTGTCTTTTTAATGACCTTTTGCTTTCTTCATGGATGATGTTCTTGATGTCATCTCACAATTCCTCTGGTTTTCAGTCATTGGTGTTCAGTGTATCAAATGGTCTCCAAATTCAGGAGAGATATAATCAAGGTCACATTTTGGTTCTCATGGACTTCTTTTAATTGTCTTTAGCTTCAAGTTGAACTTGCATATGAGCAGTTGATGGTCTCTTCCACAGTCAGCTCCTGGCCTTGTTTTGGCTGAAGATAATTGAGCTTATCCATTGCCTCTTGCTACAGATGTAGTCAATCTGATTCCTGTGTATTCCATCTGGCAAAGTCCACATGTACAGCGGCCGGTTGTGTTGTTGAAAAAAAGTATTTGCAATGAGTAAGTCATTGGTCTTGCAAAATTCTGTCATATGATCCCCAGTGTTATTTCTATCACCAAGGCCATATTTTCCAACTACTGGTGATCCTTCTTTGTTTCCAACTTTTGCATTCCAATAACCAGTGATAATTAACACATCTTGATTGCATGTTTGGTCAATTTCAGACTGCAGAAGTTGGTAGAAATCTTCAATTTTCTCATCTTTGGCTTTGGTCATTGGTGCATAAATTTGAATAGTATTAACTTGTCTTCCTCGTAGGCATTTGGATATTATCCTATCACTGACAGCATTGTACTTCAGGATAGATCTTGATATATTCTTTGCGATGATGAATGCCACACCATTCTTCTTCAATTTGTCATTCCCAGCATAGTAGATCATATGATCATCTGATTCAAAATGGCCAAAACCAGTCCATTTCAGCTCACTAATACCTAGGATATCTATCTTTATGTGTTCCCTTTCACTTTTGACAACTTCCAGTTTTCCTAGATTCATACTTCGTAAATTCTATGTTCCAGTTATTAATGGATGTTTGCCACTGTTTCTTCTCATCTTGAGACATGCCACATCAGCAAGTGGAGGTCCCGAAAGATTTACTCTATCCACATCATTAAGGTCAGCTCTACTCTGGGGAGTCCAGTTTTTCAGTCGTATTTTGAGTGCCTTCCAACACCAGGGGCTCATCTTCTGGCACTGTGTCACACAGTGTTTCAGAGCTATTCATAAAGTTTTCCAGTAATATATCATACATTGTGTAACTGCTATTCATAAGGTTTTCATTGGCCAATTCTTTGAGAAGTGGACGGTCTCTTCCTTCTTCTGAATCTATCTTAGTCTGGAGCCTCCACAGAAACCTTTCCACCATGGGTAACTGCTGCCTTTTGAAACATGGTGGCATAGCCTCCAGCCTCACAGCAACACTCAAGCCACTACAGTAGGACAAATTGACAGACAATTTTGTCTCCCCTAGCTGTTCTAAACTCTTCTGCTCATTTCCTGGTCTCCCCCGCCTTGCTCGCTTACCTCGCCTGCCCCCAAGGCAAACACCCACCTTCCTTTGGTCCCAGGGCTGGCTTACTGCATCCTGCCCCTGGGGACAGCTCCACACACACAAACCACCCACCCAAAATAGAATTTTATGGGGTAAAAACAAAGTGGTGTTTCAGGAATATCATGGAAATAGTCATTCTTAGAACAGCAGAGCTCTGTGGGACTTCATTACACTTGTTTTATAGTATAAAACCAAAAAACCGAACTTACTGCCATCAAGTCAATTCTAACTCTTAGCGACTCCCATTGGGTTTCCAAGGCTATAAGTCTTTATGGAAGCAGATTGCCCCATCTTTCTTCCACCGAGCAGGTATTGGGTTCAAACCACTGACCTTTTGGTTAGCAGCCAAATGCCTTAACCACTACACCACCAGAGATCCTTGTAGTTTAGTTCAGAGTCATGTCTTAGTGAAACTTATGTCTTGTGACTGTGGATCTAGTGCCTCAATAGTCATTTACCTTCACTTCCTGTCTCCCTGGCAGCAGAATCCTGGGTGGGTTTTTTTTTCCCCTCTTGATCAATTACTGTTTGAGGTGATTAGTTTCATTTAATTTATCTTAGGAGTAATTAGGCTCTTTTTGGAATTTTGTTTTATGACTTTTTTTAATTAGCACAGATTTAATAAGATAATAGTGAGTTGTTGTTGTTGTAGTTGTTACGTGCCGTCGAGTCGGACCGACTGATAGCGACCCCTCCTTGGGTTGCCGAGGCAGTATCACTACGGAAGTAGATTGCCCCATCTTCCCTCCGAGGAGTTGCTGGTGGGTTTGAACCGCCAGCCCTCTGGTTAGCAGTCCAGTGCCTTAGGCACTATGCTACCAGAGCTCCCAGGATCCCAAAAAATATTAGGTACTAAATATTCACAGTTGTTGTTGTTATTTGCCATCGAGTCGGCCCCGACTCATAGCGACCCCTCCTTGGGTTTCCGAGGCAGTATCACTACGGAAGTAGGAATGCCCAACCTTCCTTCCGAGGAGTGGCTGGTGGGTTTGAACCGCCAGCCTTCTGGTTAGCAGTCAAGTGCCTTAGGCACTATGCTACCAGAGCTAGAAAATGCCAAAAAATTGAAATCATGCAATCTTTTAAATAAATAAATAACAGATAACAAGAAAATGAGAGGATAATTTGACATTTTTAAAAAAAGAAGAAGAAACTACACCCTAGAATCATTTTCTGTTGTGGCTCCAGATGAAACAGTTGCTGTCAAGTCGATTCTGACTCGTGGTTACCCCATGTGTGTCAGAGTAGAACTGTGCTCCATAGCGTTTTCAATGACTGATTCTTCAGAAGTAGATCACCAGGCCTTTCTTCCAAGGCACCTCTCAGTAGACTTAAACTTCCAGCCTTTTGGTTGGCATCCATGCACTTAGCCATTTGCACCACCCAGGGATGCTCACTGTGACTCTGATGGTTCCTTAACCAGACTGTCTGGAGCTTTCTTATCCTGTATTCCTAGAGAAGATTGCAAAAATATTTTTCTCCCAAATATGAGAAAATTAAGATGGGAAAATCTTTAAATGAGGCTTTCATTGGGATAAAAGATAAGCAGCATCTTATGCTTTTATTTAAGGTTTGGACTCAGCAGAATTGGCTAAGCCTAACTCAAAAACAAGAGGCAAAGAAATTATACCAGGGTCTGCCTCCTCTTCCCAACCCATGTTCTCCCCCATACATCCCAAGGCAGACTTGTGAGCAGGCACAACCTGTTGATCTCACAAATGGTGAGGCTCTCCTGGGTCACACAAGAGAGAACAGAGGTAATGTTCTTTCACAGGGTTGAGCCCTGGGTGCGTTTGCCTTGTGACCGGAACATGGCTGGAGCAGAGTTTTCTGTACTCTGGAAATAAAAAAAAAAAAAAAAAATCCTGGAATGAAGACTGCCCCCTGTAGGTTACCTGTACCATGTCTCAATGAGTGAATGTGGGGAGTCACTGTAGAGAAGCCTCCTGCAGGGGCTATGGGATGGAGAATTAGAGATTAAAAGTCTTAAAATGACTTAAGAAACATATCAACGAAATAAAGTGAGTGAATCTTGTTTGGATCATGAGTCAAAAAAAAAAAAAAAAAACACTTATAAAAGTAATATGAGAAAATCAGGAGAATTTGAACTTTGGATGATGAAATCAAAGAATTATGATTTTTTTCTTAAGAATGATGATGGGAACGTGGTTATATTTTTGTTTTGGTTTTACTTTTCTATGTAAAAATTTTCTTTAATAAAATTTAAAAATGTCTTTGCCCTATATTCCACCCAAAATACTTTAATTTTTATGAATTTAATAGCTAGTGAGGCTAAATTTTAGGGGGGGACACACAGGGGTTATTTTTTCCCCCATAAAATATCTGTTTATATCTTTTGGTAATTTTTTAAAAATTGACCTGACTCTTGAAAGAATAATCAATTTTTATTCTGATGCTTGAAAATCTGTTCACTGTAATTAGCAAACATATAAAACGTTCTAAGCATTTGGTGACAAATCTATGAAGTAGGTACTATTATTATCCGCATTTTACAAGTAAGAAAATTGAAGAAAGGTTATCTGCCCAAGATCACCCAGAAAGTCAGTGTAGGTAGGATTTGAACACAGGCTGTCTGAGTCTGGAACATTTGCTATTATCCACTACATAAAGCTGCCCTATTAACCTTTTGCTTTATGTATCCTGTCTGGTTTTAATTTTAATGAGGTCTTCTCTTCCCTGGGATAAGATAAATATCCACTAATATTTTCTTCTAATACTCCAGTAATATCTTCTTTTCGTATTTACATCTTGAGATGTTCAGCTGGCAGCTGGAAATTCAGATCTAGAACCTAAGAGAGAAGTCATAGATCAAGAGTTAGATTGAGGAGTCATAACTGCTACTCCTTCCAGAGTGAATTTTGACTGTCAGGTGATCAGTGTTTTGTGATTTTTGTCCTTGTGCTTGGATGCTAGGTCAGTCCTGGAGCCGCTTTTAGAGCGCAGGGCCTCGTCAGGTGCCAGAGTTGAAGATCTGCCCCTCAGAGAAGATAGCGAAAACCGGAGCAGCAAGTTCAAGAGAAAAGACTGGAGTCTGAGCAAGTCCCAGGTCATTGCAGAGAAAGCGCCAGAACATGATCTAATGGTAAAAAAAAAAAAAAAAAAGAGAGAGAGAGAGAGAAAGAAAAGCACCCAAGATTTGCCACTGCTTCCCTTGTAGCCAGGCATGTCACCATTCCCTCCACAACAGTGAGTCACCAGATGGAAGCCTGACTGTGGCTTGTCTCCGGGCAGAGCAGCTTGTGGTGGGTGTCAGATCTCAGGTTGTGGTAAAAAAGCACAGAGATTTGAATCTCTAAATCAGTGTTGGTGCCAGATCTTGTACTTACAGTGTAAATGTGATAATAATTGGAGTTGTGGTTCTTACCATCATATTCCATGAATCAGTCCAAACATTGTCAACTGCCATTTCTTCTCTTTTAGCTTTAAATAAATAAATAAATAAATAAGTGTCCTTTTTATTTCCATAAGCCACATCAAGTTGTTAAATATGGCAAGATCAACTTTTCCTGAGAAACAGTGTGGCTTATTTCCAACCTAATGATGTAGTCCATCTGTGGTCACAATCAGGTCTGTCTGTGGCCAGCCAGAAAGTAAGCTGTGGTTCAGTGATTCCCAGTATCTTTGCCATGATACCCACCATATGTTGATGTGGTAAGCTTAAAGTGGCTCCTGGAATTATGCCTTTTTGCAAGTTTCTGCTCAGTAGACAGGGTTGTTCAGAGCATTGTTGAGCTTAGTGCTCCTTACCATGAGATTGTTTTGCTATGTTTTGCCCCTGTACTAGAGCCCATCCAGAAAAGCACAAAGGCCAAAGAGTCTCCAACTGGTGGACAATCGGCTAACACCATTTCATGGTTCTTCACCTCCTCAGTTAACACCTCGGAGCCCACCACCACTCACTCCTAAAGCTACCAGGACCCTGAGTAAGTCTCATACTTAACAATTCTTTTCACTAGGGAATGGAGTATGTTTATGGACCTGGGTAATTTTTAACCAAATCAGCCATAAAATATATGTGACTGTGGTAAAGTCACAATTCAGTGGTGGTTGGTAAAGTACAGTTAGACTAGAGTTTGGCAAGGAGCCCTTGAATCACTGTTTTTGGTTGCCATCAAGTGGGCTTTGACTATGGTGACCTTAGATATAATGGAATGAAACTTTGTTATGTGCTATCTTCATAGTCATTGGTGTGTTTGAGTCCATTGTTACAGCTATTGATTTGTCTAACTACCCGTAGGGTCTACTCAATATGAATGTGTAAATGAGGTAGAGTAGGACTGGGATTGAATAGCAAGCAACTACTTATGAACTAACTATTGGATTGGTAGTCCTGTACTTCATCTTGGGAAGGTTTTAAAATAAGGACAAAAAATGGACCCGTTCCTATACTGCAATCTGGTTTGGGGAACCATTGACAGAAAACACTTGAGAAGAATTACAAGGTCTCCATAGTGCAAAGGCATAATGGAAGAATAATGTGTCAGTACCAGATGGGAGACAGTGGTCAACCGAGAGTTATTTAGGTAAGGTTTCTTGGAGGAAGTGGAATATAGCACACTCTAAATTATAAAACTACAAAAATTCAGCTTAATTCAACAGGTATTTATTGAGCACCTGCAATGTGTCAGGCATTTTTCCTAAGCATTTGGGATTTATTGGAGAGCAAAGTAATACCCCAAGTTCTAGTACATGTTGTCATCCTCAGTTGAGTGATTCCCAGTTAGTATCTCTGGCATGAAAGCCACCATATGTCAATGTAGTAAGCTTAAAGTGGCTTCTGGAATTACTACTTCTGCAAATTTCTGCTCAGTAGATGGTTGTGCAGAGTATTGCTGAGCTTAGTGAAAAGAAATTTTACTTCAGAACTTCTTGTGAAGCTTGTGAAACCTGGTGAATGAAAGATGCTATGTGTCACATGAGGTAAAAGGTCTTCTTCATCCTGTCCACAGAAACCACAAAATCTGACTATAGCAATTTGATTGCCCCAGTTGGTTTAGGCATTAAAATGGCAAGCAGAATTTCTGTGCGATTTCCTGATAATTTTTTCTTCTTGCTTTCATTTACTTTGTATCATTTCTAGGCTCCCCATCTTTGCAGACAAATGGGCTGATGACATCTACTCTCCCACCTCCACCTCCCCCCAAAAGCAAGCCTTATGAGAGCAGCCAGAAAAACTCTGCAGAGGTAGGAAACCAGGGCTGACAATTGTGGCCAGAGGGCAACACTCGTGGGGAAACAGCATTGGGTTTTCAAGCTTTTTAGTAGGCAGGTTTTTCCATAGATTTCTCACTTTAATTGATTCTTGGCTCATTCCTGAAACCACAAAAGATAAAGAAGTTTTCAATGTTAAGGAATGATAATGCAAGTAAACTTTTTTTTATCCCATTGAAAGTAGAGCAGTTCTCTGTACCTTACCATGGGTACAGGTGATGAAATAAGAAGTGGGTTCGGGTTCACTTTTGAAGAGTTATTTTGAGAGTGACAATCGTTCTGGAATGGTATCTGACAGGTTTCCTTCCCTCATTCATTAGATACTTACTGAGTGTCTACTATTTGCCACAAACTCAAGTGTTAAAGATATAGCTGGGGAAGAGGGGAGTGGGTGTGGGGGGTGGCGAGTAAGTGTGTATGCATGTGTTCATGTCTGATTGACTCAAGGAGAATGAGGCAGATCAAATCATTATTTTCCTTTTCACCTTGCAAGGCCTATATAGATAAACCTATCAATTAGAAGCTAAACCAGGATGTGGGAAATGTGGAAGAAAAGGCTGAATTGGGAAGATAGGACTCATCATTTCTGATTACATATGTCTGCTTCCTCAGATTGCTCCACCACTGCCGGTCCGAAGAGAAGCCAAAGCCCCACCTCCACCCCCTCCAAAAGTTCGGAAATCTGGCATCATTTCTTCTGAGCCTGGATCTCAGTAAGGATCTTGTCCTGTCTGGAACTGAGTGCCTTGGACAGCTGATGCTTGAGAATTGGCCTCCAGGGGGCAGTGCCCTCACCGCACAGGGCCGGCTCCCTGCTTGACTTCTCTTTCTGATCTGAGGTGATGTTCACCAAATCAAAGACTGGATTTCTTTCTTTTTTTTTTTTTTTTTTTTTTTTTTGAAGCTTCTCTTTGATGTGTGAGGCCATGCTGCATCTATCCAGTCCAAATGGAATTCCAGAATTAGCCATGCTGTCTCTGCACATTTCTCAAGGGAGAGATCCCCCTCGATGTACTGAATTTCAGCCTCCATCACAGGACCAGTGGGGACTGCAAAAGCCTGGATTAGTTCTACTGCAGTGGCCATGACCCCATCCCGGGAACCTGTTCATTGGAGCTACTTCTGCTTTGCTTCTGAAAAGCTGTGCTTGAGATTTCGTTTCTTTGCTTGTGTGGGCATACACTATCCCATGTGGCATATTGGCAGAGACTAATATCAAGTACACTTTAATAGCCAAAATAATAATATTTTTCTCATGTCTACTATTTCTCCTCTGAGGATAAGAACACAGATTTTTTTAATGGAGATTGGCTGCTGCCAGATATGAATGGCTATCATTATTGAAAAAGCATGAACTCCAACATGGGCCCTGAGCTCTTGCAACCCACCCTTATCCACTTGTGACATGGGAAGCTGTCCTCCTAGGAGTCCGTTACACTCCTGGCTAATGGCCCTCACTGTGCAAGGTAGCCTCTCCTTTGTACTAAGGATTCCTTTGAAGCTCTTCCATTTGCACACATGATGTCTTGTTACCTCCTCTGAGCTTAAGTCACTGGATGTAAGGAACGTAGAAGCCCGTGTTCAAATGCTTTTTAGCCAGATCCCATTTGGACAGTCAATGGCCCTGATCTCCTACCTGATAGTACCCTGGAGGATGCAGTGCAATACTTCCCTTTGAATATTTATTCCTTTGGATGGTAGAATTATTTTGATTGTTTGTTAATGGTCCTAATGTCAGTACGCCTTTCAGAAGAAAAAAGGGGTGATTTAGGTTTTAGATGATCAAATATTATATACACATACATAAACAGCAGCACAAACTTATAGATGTTTTGAGCTGAAAAGGCCTTAAAGGTCATATAAACATTCATTTGATAGATAAGGAAATTGACGGCAAATAGAAAATTGTATTGCAGGTTCTCACTAATAACCGACCTAGCTAATTTAGAATATATTAGATAACACTTAGATCTAGAAGTCATTCCTAACCAGCTCTTCAGTACCTACCCCGGTTGGAAAAAATATTTGAAATGTCACAGACATTTCTATAATACTTAGGTATTTAGGGCAAAATCAGAATTTTTTTGACTGTGAATCCCTCAGTCAACATACGGAAAAGCTCACCTGGAATCTTGTCCATCCCTTACCCAGTCCTCAGAGTAGAGAGAACAGAGAGAGAGATTTGAGGCTGTTGCTAGTAATGAGAATTTGGATTTGCCTTCTTGGCTCTTTGTTTTTATGCCCTGTTTTACCAACACTCTTTCGGGAGAGACAGTAGAATTCATCACAAGAATCAGGGAAGCATAGCATTACTCAAGACGTTCATATTCAGATTCTGGAGATGACATGAAAAGCATTATTTCACCCCTACCATGAAAACCTACATTGTGGTGTAATGCAAAGGACATGGGCTTTGGAATGAAATGTGTTTGGTTTCACATCCCCAGCTATGTCATCTGTTAACCTGGCATGTTCACACACATTATTTGACATTCTTTGAGCTTTCATTTCCTCACCTTTCAAAATGGGGATAATACCTGCTATACAGGTTGTTGGATTAGCGGACACTCACACAATGTTCATTTCTTTTCTCTGCTAGACCTGAGTAAGATCTGGAACTCTCTCAGAGCATTATTGATACTCTTTTTATATTTTCCCAATGTAATTTGAAGTGTGTGTGCAGCTTAATGCTACACATACAGTTCCTCTTCAGAAGATGACATCTTTTTCAGCCTTTTATGTACCTTATGGCTAGAATTAGGGAGCTCTGGTAGCATAATAGGTAAGGCACTTGACTGCTAACCAGAAGGCTGGCGGTTCAAACCCACCAGCCACTCCTCGGAAGGAAAGTTGGGCAATCTATTCCCATAGTGATACCACCTCAGAAACGCAAGGAGGGGTCTCTAGGAGTCGGGTCTGACTCGACAGCACATAACAACAACAACACCATGCTAGAATTGAAGAGAATTTTAAGTGGAAAGAACTCAAGCCCTGTAGAGAAGGAAAGGGAAGAGAAAGAATATGCAGGGTTTATGTGGAGCAGCTTCTGCAAAGCTGCCTGTCAGACTGACTAAGGGGGTTTGTATGCTTCACCCTACTTTCAGGCTACCATTAGATAGAAAGATGTAAACTGGGTCATGTAAAAAGCTGCAAGGCTCCCCTTTGAGAGCAGCGGGAGTGAGCCTGAGCCTGATCTCGGAGCACAGGCCATAGACATCTGATACCTCAGTACTCAGATACCTTCCCCTATGTTGTATAAGATTATTCCCTTTCCATCGTAATGGGAATAATAGTTTCTCTCTTTCCTGAACCCGAAGGATTCTAGGTAATGTTGATGAATGATAAATCACAGAAGACTTTGGGAGGTTTGTCTGCTCAGAAGCCATCGGATAGGAAAGAGTCATATTTGACAAAAAGTCATAAATAACAAACATCCAAGAGAAAGACTGCAAAGAAATGCCTTATGATTGATTACATTACATATAGGAGAAATGAGAGACAGGAAGAGAAAGGTTTAAGAACCCAGCCTTCACTTTTCCTTGCTAAGAACTCTGGAATGTTGTAAGAATTGAAATAAGTCCTAGAATTATCACAACCTATGTGAATATTGATTCTTTATATCTATCTATCTATCTATTAATATATATACATATATATTTCTTTTTAAAAATCTTTTTTCTCTCTTTGTCCTGATGACTTGTCTTGCTTTGAGATTCATTTTTTCCCCCAATAATTTTTTCTCTCAAATATATTAAGCTCTTACCCAATGGCAGACACTTTACTAAACCCTCAGGATATGGCTGTTCAACATGTTTAATGGGGAGACAGCCTTAGTACATGTAGACAGTTCACTCTGGTTTGCTGTGAGATTGCGGCATAAGTGGTATTAAATGAAACCAAAATCCTAAGTAAGGCTAGTGGGCTGTGGGTTGCTTCCTCCCTTTTCCAACTTCATCCTTTGACTCCAGAATTATAGCCATTTTCTCCTATTAAAAACTGAACTAAGGACTGACCCAGCCACACTGCACATCCTTAAGATAAAGTAAAGCAGAGTTTCAGGAAATAGTTCACCTTTGTTTACTCTTTTCAAACTGCAGGAGTCATTCCCTGTAAGTTGCTTCGGGATCATGGGGCAACAATTTCTTATTTTAAAATTCAAACATAACTTACATAAATGAAGTGTGAAGAGATAGATGAATGTTTACATATGTATATACCCAGTCACCACCTCTCAGAGAAGACAGAGACTATTTCCAGCACCCTAGAAAGTTCTTTTGTGCTCATGGTGCCATTTCATAAAAGATACTTAGAAGGCTCTTAAAATTTGTGCCTTTCTTCTTCTCACTTCTCAGGCATAAAGAAAGAGATGGGGTGAGGGACAGAGAACCTCACCATAAAAATGGAACAAGATTTGAAGACTACACCTTTTGGCAAGTCAAGTTCTAGTCCCTGGGCCTCTATTTCCTCATCTGTTAAAAATAATAATAATTTGAAGCTAGATGATTTTTAGAATCCTTCCCATCCTTGCTTGGTTTTATTTTAAGTGAATAAAAAAGAGGGAGAGTCAGTAAGAAACTGAGTTTCTGTATTTCTGTGTAATGGCTTTTAGATACATGCACTAGAATTTTTCTATTTTTCATCCCAACTTGTTCCTTTGGCTCTGCCATACCCAGAGTCTTAAGATCAAAAGATCTGTGGACATTAAAACTATGAATATACCCCATATACCTAGCACACATTGAAATATTGACACCAATTACCATATTTCTCTGCAATGACTTTATAAACAATGTCGTTTTCATAGTAGTCTTCAGCCTTCACCAGCCTGGCCACTGTACCTAAACATTCAGTTCATCTTAATAATCATGTCTTCCTTCCCCATATCATTTGGGGAGTTGATAAATATCACTTCCTTGGGAGTTTTCATTCAGCTATATATCTGGTTTTTAAAATTAAAATTAAATTAGAAATTCTCTTTGCGTGGGTTAAGGGTTGAACCTGGTTCTATTCTACACAAGGAAAATTTTCCATTCATATTGATTATATACTTAGATTCCAGCCAAAGCTGATCTCCAGTAGACCCTACCCAAACTCATCTATTAGTTATATCTTGTTAGTTGTTTATCCAGACTTTGTCATAAGCTTCTTTGCCATGATTTTGTCAATAATTGGGTTTCTAACATGGACAGCTTGGAAGATACACATTGAAGTAGAAGAATTTTTGTTCAGGTTTGCTGTTATTTATTTTTTAAATTAAAAATGGAAATGCATTTTAAATTTGATTGTGCAGTTTGTTTATTACTTTTGTATTAATGAAATAATACCACTCCTAAACTTTTTCATTTTTCCTTTTTGACCCTACTTTATGATCCATCACACCCAGAGTTCCTCCCTATTAATTTAAACTTGTATTGTGAAGTCATAGAATCATTTTTGTCTGGAGGTAGTAGAAACTGCGGACCATTTTCCCCCTGCCCCTTCCATCTATCCTTTTGGCATCTGAGCTAACTTGGTTTGATGGTAAACTGCCCCCCCCCCAAAAAAAACCCCACCCTGCCATGGAGTCAATTCTAATAGCAACCCCCATTGGGTTTCCAAGGTTATAAATCTTTACAGAAGTAGGTTGCCTCGTCTTCCTCCCACAGAGTGACTGCTGGGTTTGAACCACTGACCTTAGCAGCCTAAGGCCTTACCCACTGTGCCACCAGAGCTCCTTT